TACTGTCTGCCCCGTGGCCAACCACCAATTCTTAACTGGGGTGGAACCAGTTTCACTGTCTGATCCAAGGCATCCTGACCTTGGAGAGCAAATCTGTGCCCTGTGGGTTTGAGACAAAGGTTGGTATTTAGGTAAGAGTGAGTCAATTCTTCTCAGGCTTGAAGAAATAGATTTAGCAGCTGTGCCTGGCAGCGGGGGCATGGCGAGAGGTACCTACCAAGAGGCCTCCGGCTTTATTTTCCTCCCCTCAATTAAATTTTTTTTGTGCAGGCTCAATAAATGCCACAGTTCACACAGATGAACCAGCAACATGGTTCTCAGCCCTGTTGTTGGTTGCGGGGGGGGGTTTCTCAGAGCGTGCATCGTCATTAACAAAAATGAGTGGAAATCTTTTCCGGTCGCAATGATAAATCCCTATCTACTCCTTTCTGCCAGCAGTTCCCATCGGACTGGTGACTTTTCAAAGATGTTGCATTCCAGAATCCATCCAATGGAAGAGGTTAGTTCATTCAATGTTCTTCGAAATCACAGTATTTCTGCTTCGTTGATCTTTAACTCTCAGTCACACCCAAGATCTGTTTATATCACAGAATTACACGATCTTACAATAAAGGATATCAGCTAGTCTCAAGTTTTTTCTTCCCTCTGATTATTCATTTTTATTCAGGCATGTATCCAACTCCCTTTTGAAAGGTACCCTGAAATCTGCTTTTCCTGCCCTTTCAACTCAAAACGATGGTTTTAAGAAAAAAAAAGTTTGTCACGGTGGCTCAGTGGTCAGCACTGTTTCCTCATTGTACCCGGGGACCTGGGTTCGATTCCACCCTCGGGCGACTGTCTGTGTTAGGTTTACACGTTCTCCCTCTGTGTCCGCATGGGGCTTCTTCCCACAGTCCAAAGATGTGCAGGTTAGGGTGGGGATCAGCTGTGTTGAATTTCCCCACAGGGTCCAGGGATGTGCAGGTCGGGGTGGATTAGTTGTGGTTACAGGGATAGGATGGATGGATGGGTGGGGGAAAATGGGTCTGGGATGCTCTTCGGAGGGTTGGCGTGGATTTGATGGAAGCAGGGTATTGACCCACACTGTAGGGATTCTACTGACCTTTCTTTTGGTTCCTCTGCTGGGACTGGTGTTAAGGGGAATTGGATAACTAGGGCCTTGCAGAGATATTTAAACCAATTAGTGGAGGGACTAATGTTGATTGAAGAAGTCTGACAGGAAGAGATGAATCAGAATGACGTAGAATCCATACGAGTGGCTGTAAGAAGTAACAAAGGAGGGAAAAGTGCTGGTGAGTGTGTGTGAACAGTAGCTGTTCTGTAGGACAGAAGAGAATTGCAGTACACTTAATCAAAGGTGACTTTAAATCTTCACGTCAATTAGAATATTATGCTTGGCTCTCTTTGCCAATTTAAGAATTGATTGAGTGCATTTGGTGCCCTGGAATAACATGTTGTGAATCCAAGGCTTTTTGGATCCGACGCTCTGGATGAGTCAGGCTTAATTAATGATTTGAAGTGTAAAACATCCCCTCATGACCATAATTTGGCAGAATTTAGCATTCAGTTTGATAGTGAGAAACAACCCACGCTCAATTTGAAGCGGGGGTCATTACACAATCAATGTTAAGATTGCAGTTGGGACTCGGTAGGACTTGAGTATTGCTGGGAAAAAGGGGCACTTTGTCAGAGTTTTTCCATCTCGTACTCATTGGCAGTTAACTGTCAATCATTAACCGGTGTACTTTCCATGCAAAGCCTGCCCCAATCACAGTCCACTATCAAACCAACCAGTGCTTTTCCCCCTCGTGCAGGGTTTCTTCTGCAAATTGTCCTGAATAGTGTAAGATGAACAAACTACGACAGAATATGCCTTCCTCTTGCAATATTAAATTTGAATGTTAATCTTCCCTTAATCTTGAACACAAACAGAAGTTGCTGGAAAAGCTCAGCAGGTCTGGCAGGATCTGAGAAGAAAAAAATAAGAGTTAACATTTTGGTTCCGTGACCCTCTCAGAATTTCCCTTAATCTTATTAGTTTAATCTTAATTTTTCAGATTTTATTCACAATCCTACCTAAACTTTACATTTAATTGCACCTTACTAAATTCTTAATTTTAATTATAATGTTATTTTAATCCTGATTTTAATCTTAACCATCATTTTAAGATTTCAATATCAAAAGTGTGAAGGCTGTTGAGGGATGCAGTTTGGTGGGACCTCAGCACGGTGATAAAGTTTCTCAGCGATCTGCTGTTGCCTCATGGCTGAATTTTAGTGTAGAAGTGGGATAAAAGATCACAGAAACCAATTCAGTCACATTATGTTGAAGCAGCAGGGCAGGTAGTCTAACCTGAGTGTGTTTGTATCAGGTTCTCCCCTCTGTATCACCTGTTGCGTTCACGTTTGTAATGTGAACTACATTTAAGCTTGCAGGCTGAAATTTCATCCAACTCACCTCCTGGACTATCCCAAGTACTGTCCCATAAAACCATTAATTAGAATGAGTCAGTTCAGCCCATCAAATCCGTGTTGAGAGAGCCCAGATCTGAGCCTTATATCTGAACTCAATCATGGGACGTGGGCGTCGTGGCTCGTGGCCCTGTCCCACCTATTTGCCCCTTCAGGAGGTGGGGATGAGCCACCTTCTCGAACCGCTGCAGTCCATGTGGTGTAAGGGGCCCCCCTCCACCCCATTGTTAGGGAAGGAGTTCCAGGATTTTAACCCAGCCACACTGAAGGAACAGCCGATATATTTCCAAGGCGGGGATGGTAACGGGCTCAGAGAGGAGTTTCCATTATTACCTGCTTCTCCACTACCTCCAATCACAGCCCCCCTACCTCCCCGGCCAATCATTGAAACCCATCCCACCTCCCAGGCCCCTCCAATCACTGCCCACCCACCCCAAACTCTGTGGCTCCTCCAATCACAGCACCCCCCCCATCTCAGCCCCGCTACTGGCACCTCCCAATGGAGCCAGTGGCTAGTGAATGGGCCTCAACGTGCCACCACCTGCCTCCTTGTTGTTTGAGGAATCTGGTCCGTTTGCCAATGGGAAAGCCGGCGGTCAAGGCAATGGCAGGGTGGAATAATGGCCTCAATCCCAGGGTTGTGAGGTGGGTAGGCATCTGACGGCCATTCCCCCACCCCCCTTCCCTGTGACACCCACAAAGGAGTACGATCAGGGCCTGAGAATTCTCCGAGATGTGGGAGGGTTGGCGAATTTTCAATATTTATATTATTATCGTTGTGCCATCCCCTCACACATCACCCGCCCCCAGCACATTTCCCCCCCCCCCCCCCTCCTTACTGCCACTCTTGCCTGTTTCAGGTCCGAATACAAGCTGACCCAACTGACGGTCAAAACCGACGGAAGGATCGAGGAGGACGGACAAGGCATGCTGCAGGTAAGTCGGGTACGGGCACCAGGTAACGTGACGCCCCCCCCTCCCCCCCCTCCTCCCCTGGGGCCTGGAAGAGAAAAACCCTCCTTTTTTCCCACCCCCCCCCCCAAATTTTTTAAAAAAATATATAGTTTGTCCTCATCGGAAGCGAATAAATGTTGGACGGGCTGCCGCTTAGGGTTTGCCCACGGAGCAAAAGGACGCCGACTGTCAAAGTGGCGGTGGGGGGGTACCTGGGAGTTTGTCAGAGAGCCTTCCTCAGAAGCCAGGCCCTTCTCTCCAGCGGTGCTGCCGAGCTTTTCCAGCGACTTCTGTTGTCGTTCCTGATTTGCAGCACCCGCAGTTCTTTTGGGGTGGTTTCACTTAGCGTTCAGGAGAGCCGGGTTCGAATCCCGCCGCGGCACACGGTTCAATAAATGTCTGGCCTTGAAGGGGGTCTAGTGATGACCACGAACCCATTGTCATTTTCGGGGGGGGTGAGCCCAACTGGGTTCGCTAACATCCTGCAGGAAAGGAAACGGCCGTCCTTACCTGGATCCGGGCCTGTGCGCCACTCCAGCTCCTCCCGCAACAGCAACGACGTGGTTGACTCTTAACTGCCCTCTTTGGTTAGGGGGTAAGGGGCACGGGTTGGGGCAATACATTGCAGAGCCTGGCCCAGTGATGGCCTCATCCCGTTAAAAGAACCACTCTTACACCGTCCCTGCCTCGCTCCCCTCTATCCCGCTTTTCGGATGCTACTTAAAACCCACCAGTCGGCCTCGACTTCCCCGGGGTTGGGGGGGGGGGGGGGGTGTCGTCGCGAGCTGGCGCCACGCGACCGTAGCCGCTTCCCGCCGCAAATCCCGGGCGCGGATTGGCTCCCGCGCCTCCCACGTGACCCTCAGGCGGGAAAAGACAAGCGGCGAAGACGGACCGTTGGGCTCCTCGCGCCAATCACTCCTCCCCGCCGCCAATCCCCTCCTCCTACCTCCCTAACCCCCCATCGCCCCCCGCCAATCCCCTCCTCCTACCTCCC